AATGAATGGACTTCCACAGACCTCTGTGATAGAGAATGCCATAGATTCACCACCAACTTTATGAAGACGTTCCTCTCCATCTCAGGCCCGAATGGCTAATATCTTATTCTGAAACTGTGTCCCTGAATTCAAACTCTACAGCCAGGCAAACAAGCTTTCTGCATCTACCCTCTGTGTATCTCTTTAAGAATTTAGTAAGTTTCTATGAGATTGCCTCTCATTCTTCTAAACTCCAGGCCCATTTTCCTCAATCACTCATCATAAGACATTCCCATTTTCCCTGGAATTAGTCTGGTGCACCTCCACTGCTGGATGGTAAGTATCTCCTTCCCTCAGGCAAAAGGACCAAAACTGTACACAATACTCCAGGTGGCATATAACCAGTGTTCTATACAAATGAAACAAGTCTTCTTTGCTGCTATATTCAAATCCATTTATGATAAAGGTTAACATTATGATAAAGGTTACCTTCCAAACTGCTTGCTGAATCTCCATGCTAGCTCTCAGTGATTTAAGAATAAGGACACTACGTCTCTTTGGACATCAACACTTCATAATCTCTCAGCATTTAAGAAATAAAATGCATCTCCTACCAAAGTGGATAATTTTGCAATTACCCCATTATATTGCTCTTGCCAACTGACTCAATTTGTCTAAATCCTCTTGAAGCCTCTTTGCATCCTCTTCACAACTCACATTCACACCAAGTTTTCTATCGTCTGCAAACTTGGAAATATTACAATTGGCCCCTTGTCCAAATCATTGATGTAGATTTTGAACAGATGGGGTAAAGATAAAACTTGGTCTCTGCAAGGACTGCATGGTGGTCATTCATATCTATACTGCCATGGACAGATACATCTGTGACAGATACACTGGCAAGGACTGGGTCAATTAGGGCTTGGTTCTATCTCAATCCAGACCCATTATAGTAGCATTGCCCTTTAGGACTTGCCTAGTTCAGTCTTGGTACTACTGCGCCACTCTTGGTGATGGTTATTGAAGTCCTCCACCCATGTTTGCCCTGATGCCATGAGAATTCATGGAGTCTAGAATCAATGTTGAGGACTCCTAGGGAAACTCTATATCTCAGTAACTCTGTTACTCTCCCTGGGTATGTCCTGTACCAGAGATGTGCTGCCATCTCTGGTACAGGATGTACCCAGGGACAGTAACAGTGGTTCTTATAACATTGTAAGGCATGATTCTATGAGTATGACTGTCTGGCTGTTACTTCATTAATCTGTGCATCAGTTCTCCCAGTTTTGGCACAAATCCTCGAATGTCAATGAGGAGGACTTTACAAGATTGACAAGGCTGCGCATGCCATAGTTGACTTCGGTGGCTAGGTCAGTCTTTCTTTTTAGATTTTGTAGCTGTTCGATAGAACTAAGTCTGGAACCAGGACATTTCAGAGGGCATTTAAGTATCTACTTAAATGGGTTTTCCGACCATCAACAATGGTGCCATTATTCGAATAGATTAGCCCCAAATTTATTTCTGTAAATTCTGTAGGATTTGAACACATGCCCCAGAGCATTAGCCTGGGCTGCTTTATTACTAGCTAAGTGACATTACCACTGAGGAATTGACTTCCCTTTGTAATAACCTTGCAAGAAATACAGGTGCTGTTACTTCACATTTCAGAGGAAAATCTTATTTTGGAAAAGTGTGGAACATCTTTGAAAATGCTTCCTGGACCTATCTTAAATGAAGAACCTAAACAGATTTCTCCTCTAGATAGGAGTATACATTTAGGCATGAAGTGGCTCTTGTGATATAGTGGTAATTGCCCTACCTCTGGCCTAGAAGGTCAAGCCCCACCTGTCCCAGAGATGTGTCATTGCATGATTGAACAGGTTAATTTAAATTATTTTTTAGAACCAGTCTGGTGATGTCAATAAGATGTCGTGAAACACAGAGCTATTACACAATCTCGCCCATAAATATAATCAAAACTCATGGCCACGTGGATTCTTCTGTGATAATCTTATATGACATGTGGTCTTCTTTGACACAAGCTAAAAGTATGATCACAAGGGCAGGTCATACTATTTCACATCTCATACAAAAATTATATTTTTTAACAAATTACCTGGCTTTCCCCATAGAATTTCAAAACAGGGAATCCCATTTCGAATTCTTGTTTTGACAATGCTTAAAAAGAAATAAAGAAGAAAAAAAGTTTGAAATTCCACATAACCTCAGAATCGTACAATTCCCACAGTGTCGGGATAGGTCATTCAGCCCCAACAAGTCCACACCGATCCTCCAAAGAGCAACCCATCTAGACCCATCCTTGCATTTCCCATGGCTAATGCACCTAGCCTACAAATCCCTGGGCACTATGGACAATTTACATGGCCTATTCACCTAACTTGCACATCTTTGAACTGTGGGAGGAAACCAGAGCACCCGCTGGAAAGCCACACAGACATGGGGTGAACGTGTAAACTCCACACAGACACCCAAGGGTATAATTGAACCAAGGTCCCTGTGAGGCAGCAGTGATAACCACTGAGCCACCACTGACTGCACTGCAACAAAACCAAGTGTATAATGTATCCATATGTAAATTATTATAGAAGAGAAGTACTTTGACAGGCAGATCAATTCAGATATTTTCTGTATTCCATTTTCTATTTATCTGGCTTTTATGCATGGATAAGAAGACACATGCAGTGGATCCCACTTCCCACACTCCCCGAAAAAAAAACAATGCAAGCGCATGTTTATCCAGCTACTTCTCCTAATCGAGCATTAACTCACCTTGTGAGGACATGGTAAAAGGCATTAAGTACGATGCAAAGCATGTAAACAACCTTCAGTTAAGTCTAGAATGTCAGTAAATACCCACACAGTATACTGCTCAACATACAAATGAAGAAAAAGTAATGGTTAATTCAAAACATAGTACCTCATTGGCTGCAAATGACATGGGTCTATTCTTCCCAATTTTCTTTCCATCATATCGTGGTGTGAAAGTAACATCAGCACTTTCTCACATGTATAGTGTCTAGGCCACTCCATTTTATCCAGGGCAAAATTCTAGATGTATGAAGCAAGATTCTGTTAATGTGGCATGATCAGCTATCTTTGTCAAGGCACTGCCAGATGATCCATGTAGGAAACCCAAATTTTCTCTGCATTTTCCTACAAGCGTACACATTAAAATTGAATTCTATCAACCAAACCAATGCCAGTGCATTCTATTTTGTCTGCTGTGCCAATGTATTTTCTGATTTCTCTGTCTCAGTTTGACTTTTTAAAATGTACTTTCACTGTAATATCGGAACATTTGGTGTTTCCTCTTGCTTACTTTTAATTTTAACTGTTGATCATTCTGGTTCGTGGATTATGGCGTGAGTTACATGGTCTCAGAATGTTATTTGTCTGCCAGAGAGCACAAGCTTTCTTGCATTACACGTGGACTCCACAATTTTTCTAATTGACTTGTCCCAATGGATCGTGCAGTCCTTTGCAATAGGCAAGGGTTTTCTGTTAGAGTGCTATCCGCATTTTTGTGTTATTTGCAGGAGGTCTGTGCCTCTATCCCTACAGATAACAAGGGTTTAGCGTATTTTCAGCAAATTGTTCAGTAACATAACAAGTCACTGTTTAGTCAAGCATTCTTTGATTGATAACATTCGGCATAAAGTCCCGTGCTTCAATAAAGAGAAAAGAGGTCTTGCTTGTCAATGTGGTCTTTTGTACTAGAAACAAGAGAAATGTACTCAAAGAAAAATCTGTTGCAACAGTAAACATTTGGTAAATCCTGGTGGGTATTGATCAGTAGATGGAAACTTGATTGATAATTTTGCTGATTAGTTCAAGAATGCATTCTTCAATTGTAGTGCAATACCAATTCCCAGCTAAAACCAAGTAACTCAGTAAAAACCTATTGATCAAACTTGAGATCTGCCTTGTCTCAAATCTCAAATGCTTAGCATTATATGTGTAATTCATGTACCATTTGATCCTGATAATCTTCAGGTTACTAATTAAAGTTCAAAACATTCTTGTGTTTTAAACCCCTGTTCTGTCTTAGACTCAGTCCACACATTTCTTAAGTCTCAATAAATTTGTGTGTATTAGTATTTTGTAGTAATCTTACGTATTTATATACCTAATTTCAGAGACTGACAAAAGGGGTGATTGAAGAGATAAAGGAAATAATTACCAAAGACTTAACTGGAAAAGGGTTTAAAAACTAATGCGGTTTCAGCTTTTTGCTTAAAGACAAGGGTTGCCAACAATGATTGTGGACAAAGGAACTCGAAGTCTGGGCCTGGGAAGTTAAGAACAGTGACAAGTTACTTTTTTCTAGTTGAAGATGTAACTTTTGTGGACCTTGCAAAAACTGTCTTGAGGTGGAAGAATAACTACCTAGCAACGACACCAGATGACAGAAGCTTGGTTAATATGTGCTGTCATTGTCTGACATCTGAATGGGGTGCTAGCATCTGTATAAGTCATATACTTTACCCCGTAAACAATTAGGATCTTGAGAAGGTTAGGACAATTGATCATTAGGGAGGAATAGTGTAGTCAATCAGGGAAATTATGAAGAGGTTTTGTTCAGCAGATTGATTACTGAAGTCAACCCTTGCATGTAGGAAGATCAATTGCTGATCTTTGAATGGTACTCAAGAAAAAACATTCTTGATCAAGTCACATGCTTGTTCTGTTGTGTAGCCAGAGTAAGACCAGAACTGGATAATGCAGCCCAGGCATTAAAGAAGCTCCACATTAAAAAGAATGTACTTCACAGAATGTTATCTACCTGAAGTAAAAGCAATTTTGGACGTTTCCATTGAATACGCTGAATTAGTTGGTCCTTACTGATAAGAAACTCTCTGATCACCTGAAACACAAATTATATAATGCCATAATAGAATGGTTATGTCACAGAAGGAGCCATCTTGTTCTTTGCGTATGTGTCAGTTCTCTGAAAAGGCAACTCATTTAGTTCAACTCTCCTGCATTTTCTCTGTAATCCAGCAATGTTTTCTCCTCAGATAATTAACAAATTCTCTTTTGAAATTAATGTTTGAATCTGTCTCCACTATACCCTCAGGTAACGCATTCCGGATCCTAACTACTCATTGCGTAAAAATGTTTTTCTTCATGTCATCTTTTGCTCTTTAATAATTGGCTTAAGATCAACATCCCTGCTCTCCGTGTCTGTGTGGGTTTCCTCAGAGTGCTCTGGTTTCCTCCCACAGTCCAAAGATATGCAAGTTAGGTAGATTGGTCATGCTAATTTGCCCAAAGTGTTCAGGGATGTGTAGATTAGATGGGTTATAGAGGAATGGGTCTGGGTGGGATGCTCTGAGGGTCGGTGTAGACCTGTTGGGCCAAAGGGCCTGTTTCCACACTGTAGGGATTCTATGATTTATGACTCTTCTGAAATGAGACTGGTTTTTACCTGCTATTCTGTCTACTCCCCTTATTACTTGCAACATCTTTACCAAATTTCTTCTTTATCAAATGTGTCTCCAATCCATCCACTTAATGAACTCCTTAATCTCTGAAGGCCTATTTGTGAATCTTTAATTCATTCTCTCTAATTAAGTGGGTTGACTTATTCTACTTTTTGTATACAGAACATATTTGGACAATGTTCCACATTGCTGGTAGACAGAAGTGTGCTGGCTGCACTAGCCAAGCTGTTCCAGTACAGCTATAACAGACTGATCTACTAAAAATTTGGAGAATTACCCCGTGCTGAATCAGTGTTCTCTAAAGATTCAGCATAAATTACTTGCTTTTGTACTCTATGCATTCTAGCTATTCAGTACACAATTTTACCTTGTGTTGAGCTAGGTCTCCATTAGCATCACAGCATCACACTCCCTGGTGTCTATTGGCACCTGCAGCACGTCAAGAATATTTACCATTCTCTTGGTGTTCACATATGTACAGGTAAAGTTAATTTGGACCTTATTTCATTTTCTTTTGTTATGACCCCACAAAATACCATTTATTAATCTTGGGTGTTACTGAAAGAAGACATATTTTGCCAATGTTTTTGGTCTTGTACTCATCTTGATAATATGCAAGAATTATCAATGTGATGGAAAGACAATATTTATTCTGTATGAGAGGAGAGTGCTGAATCGTTGACAAGTGAACTCTGATTGGTAGAAGCTTAGCCACAGAGAATGCACAGTTAGATGACTGCCAAACCACTGTCATTTCTTATTCTAATGCTATTGTCGCCCAATTCTTTCTGTACCTACTTTCTTCTATCTGATACTACATGCTAGTACTTACTCTCATCTAAGTTAGTTTAAACTTTCCTGAACAGCCCGTTACTAGTTGACATAGATCTGTCTCATAAGGAGTTAACATTTGAAAAAATATATTTCCAGTTTTACCTCTTCAAATGGGAAATGCGTACAAGCTCTTGCTTTTCTGAAATTCAAAAGAAAGGAATTCAAATTTTTGCAATGAAACTTGCATTTGTACAAATTTCATACTGTTAGCAAATACCATCAAATATAAACAAGCACAGCAACCAATTTATGAACAGCATGATCCCACAAACAGCAAGTAAATGATCAGGTAATCTGCTTTTGAAATTGGTTAAGGAAGAATAGCTATAGCAACCAGAAGAAGTCTCCATTTTTTCAAGTTGTGCCACAGTCCCTTTTACACCGGGACAGGTTTTATCTATCAAAAAGATGGCACTCATGTAATATAACCTAGATGATATGCTCAAGTAGGTACTGTGGGTTACAACTTTAGATCTGGACATGAGATTGCTACCAATTGAGAAAATAGCAGTGAAAGAACAAATATCAGTCATACACTCAAGAGTACTTTGATTTAAAACGTCTCAAGCTTGACATCATGGTACAGCATAAAGGTACTTACTTTTTTATGTTGTTCTCCACCATGTTGGATTTTTTCTTCTGTTCTGCCTCATGCCAATCACATGGACAGAGGTAGTCATCTCCATGCAGTGAACAGCATTGAACAGTTGCACACAACTGACAGCCCTTGTTTACATGCTCACTGGTTAATCCTATATGAGTTATAATAGGAAAAAGTGTAACTCATTTTTGTTGATAAAACTGATAAATCCACAGCACAATGAAGCTATCATATCCCTCCACAGTGGTTGAAAATGCCCTCGACCGTGTCTCCCGCATTTCCCGCAACTCATCCTTCACACCCCCTCCCCGCAATAACAACCAAAACAGAATCCCCCTCGTCCTCACGTACCACCCCACCAACCTCCGGATCCAACGCATCATCCTCTGGCACTTCCGCCATCTGCAATCTGACCCCACTGCCAAAGACATTTTTCCCTCCCCACCCTTATCTGCTTTCCAAAGGGACCGCTCTCTCCGTGACTCCCTTGTCCGCTCCACGCTCCACACTCCCAACCAATCCCACCACCCCCGGCACCTTTCCCTGCAACCGCAGGAAGTGCTACACCTGCCCCTACACCTCCCCCCTCACCCCCATCCCAGGCCCCAGGAAGACCTTCCACATCAAACAGATGTTCACATGCACATCCGCTAATGTGGTATACTGTATCCGCCGTTCCCGATGTGGCCTCCTCTACATTGGGGAAACCAAGCAGAGGCTCGGGGACCGCTTTGTGGAACACCTACGCTTGGTTCGCGACAAACGTCTGCACCTCCCAGCCGCGAACCATTTCAACTCCCCCTCCCGCTCCTTGGACAACATGTCCATCCTCGGCCTCCTGCAGTGCCACAACGATGCCACCCGAAGGTTGCAGGAATAGCATCTAATATTTCGCTTGGGAACCTGCAGCCCAATGGTATCAATGTGGACTTCACAAGCTTCAAAATCTCCCCTCCCCTGACCGCATCCCAAAACCAGCCCAACTCGTCCCCTCCCTAACCTGTCCTTCCTCCCACCTCAAGCCCCACCCCCATCTCCTACCTACAAGCCTCATCCCGCCTCCTTGACCTGTCCATCCTCCCTGGACTGACCTATCCCATCCCTAACTCCCCACCTACATTCACCTTTACTGGCTCCAACCCCACCTCTTTGACCTGTCTGTCTCCTCTCCATCTATCTTCTCCTTTACCCATCTTCTATCCCCCTTCCCCTCTCTCCCTATTTATCTCAGAATCCCCTTCCCCTCCCCCATTTCTGAAGAAGGGTCTAGACCCAAAACGTCAGCTTTCCTGCTCTTCTGATGCTGCTTGGCCTGCTGTGTTCATCCAGCACTACACCTTGTTATATAAGTTATCACTTATACTTTTTAGCTACGCAGTTACTTCAATCCTCAGTCATTTAGATCGACAGAATCGATAGAATCTATCCATTAACCCTTCACATTCACTGCCTCAGTCTTTCTTTTTAAGGCTCCACCTAGTTTGCATTTCTTTCATCAAGCTTTTCATCACCCCACCACTTCCTTTCCACCACAGTGTCCAATTTTGTCCGGTTAAGCCCCAGCAAAGAATGTTGGAATGTTTCTCTACATTAAAGATGCTTTATAAACATGAGTTTTTTTTTCAAAGTACAGAGCTAAGACTAAACAAATGGTAAATCTGCTGGGTTACTGTCCATAAAAGCATAACTAATCGCTAGACTTTACACTCCTTCAGTGGTATTGAACATAGGGAGCACAAAGTCCAGCTAGTGGCTTTCATGTTCCCCACCCATCAGTCTCTGGCCAGACTGAAATTTTATGGGGGTGGGGAGGCATGGTTTGGGGAGGTGTCAGGCTAGCTGTCTGCTCTTGGGTTTATTGAGGTTTTTAAGGGAATCACCCTGCCCAAGTCAGTATTTTACAAGTAGCATGAAGTAGTCTGTGCCTTTAGGGGAGGTTCATTGCATATGCGAATTCTGACAGATTTAGCTGTGTAGGTTAATGTTCAACAAGGATTAGCAACCTCCTCTGAAATTCCCTGCACCCGTTGAAGTCAAAGCGTCAAGGTCACTTCTACGTGTAACTAACTCACCGGCCTCTTGAACCTAGTCTCTCATCTCCCTTACTGAGACCCCTGACTCTACACTTACCTGGGCATTGTGGGACTGCCTGCAATTCCAATAGTGATTACTTTTCCTGGTTGGCACTGTAGTGAACATAGAACTTTCGGCCATCTGATTGGCCAGAAGCTCTCCAAGATGGTACTTCCTCCCTTAAAATGGGAAGGAAATCTAGCTTTAAGGTAATTATTTCTCTGTGTTATTTTTATCTCTGTAAACACAGTATCTAGTATTAGATGTGATTCTTGTGATTGGAAATTTGCTAAATCATTCTGAGTGTGTGAAGAATGACACTGACAACCAATTTAAGATTGTCAGTCAGTTCACAGTGCATTGCACTTGCACTGGAAGCTACATATATTAACAGACAGATTCCTGCTCTTTGCAGACTGAAAGAACAAGTCTAAATAGTGCACCTGCTTTAACTGAACAAAATAGCTGACAGTGATTCTCTTGTTTTTTTTTCAGGGCAATGACGTGACCAATCAGAGTCAACTTGCTTGGTTCAGTTTAAGCAAAGTTTGGCAGTTAACTGTCAGTCATCATCCAAATGATACATACTCCACTGCAATGCACTCACTATCTAGCGGTTTTCTTATACAATATAAAAATGTTGCTGCCCCTTTAAAGTGGCAGTCTTATAAATGGCCTGATGGGCGTAGGACAAAAGTTTTCAATTTTTTTTAAGAATATGCAAGATCTGGACTACCAAATGTTAGTTCTCATCCTAATGATAGATTTCTCCCTTTAACCAAATCACTAGAAACACAGACCTTAAAAGATTTGTTTTTATATTTGTAAATGTAAAGAGCCCGGAAAGTTTCTGGACTTTACTTCAAAGAAGGTGATAAATGAGTTTTGCTAGACTATAAATGTGGATATCCCAGGAATTCTATCGAGTGGTTTTGAACAGCATATGAGATCAAAAGTTGGCTACCTGGGTGTCGGCACACAGAGCAGTGTGCTTTCTTTTCCACAGCTGGATCATGAGTAGTAAAACCATCAAACTCTAGTTTCCAGAATTTAAACCTAGAAAGATTAATGACAGTCACTTTCTTTCACATTCTTCTTTTTACTGTCATCAATTGAAATTAGTAATACAAAATATTTAATTTTTTCTTACTTCCTAATATCAGTCTTTAAAATTTGTTTGGAAAACTGAGTGTAATGTTGGAAAAGACTGAAAAAATTATACACTGTACCTTACATGGATTATATAAGGCAGATGAAAGATTAATTTAAGTGGAATAAGTAGAAAATGTAGACAAGAGAGAAGAAGAAAGAAAGGGGATGACAGTTTAAGCAGAGACATAAAACTGTAGTTTTCCCATTTATATTTGTAGTTTTAGGTCAATAAAGACATTGTTTATGTTTGAGTAGCTTTATTACTGAAATATTATTGTTATTCCAGCAGAGTTGGTAAACTAAATTAAAGGTTAGAGATAGTAGGAACTGCAGATGCTGGAGAATCCGAGACAACAAGGTGCAGAGCTGGACGAACACAGCAGGCCAAGCAGCGTCATAGGAACAGAAAGGCTGACGTTTCGGGCCTAGACTCTTCATCAGAAATTCTGCTTGGTCTGCTGTGTTCATCCAGTTCTGAAGGGTCTAGGCCCGAAACGTCAGCCTTTCTGCTCCTATGATGCTGCTTGGCCTGCTGTGTTCATCCAGCTCTTCACCATGCTGTCTTAAATTAAAGGTTAGTCTGGCAGACAAGAGATTCTTTAATTTGATGGCAGTCTCAGGATTTATTTTTACCTCTGTAGGAGGCTCTGTCCATTCATTGCTTCAATCAATCTCAAAGCCTGTTCCTTCCCAACCCCTGGAACTCCCTGGAACAAAACCAACATATAAACAAAAAAACATAGGTACTCAAAAATCTCAATCCAATGAAGGAATTAGGAAGAAGCTAAAATATAACAGGAAGTCTGGAGAAATATACAAACAAGGAGGGTGGCTAATGTAATGCCATCATTTAAGAAAGGTAGAAAGGAAAAGCCAGGGAACTATAGACCGGTTAGCCCGATGTCAGCGGTGGCTAAGTTGTTGGAAATGATTCTGAGAGGCAGGATTTACACGTATTTGGAAAGATAAAGAGTAGTCAACATCGCTTTGAGTGGGAAATCTTGTCTCACTAACTTGATTGAGTTTTTTTGAAAAAGTGGCAAAGAAGATGGCTGAAAGCAGAGCAGTGGATGTGGTCTATATGGACTTCAGCAAGGTGTTCATCAAGGTTCCGCATGGTAGACTGATTAGCAAGGTTAGATCACAAAGAATCCAGGGAGAGCTAGCCATTTGGATATAAAATTGGCTTGAAGATAGAAGACAGAGGGTGGTGGTGGATGGTTGTTTATCAGACTGGAAGCCTGTGACCAGCGGTGTACCACAAGCATCGGTGCTAGGTCTACTGCTTTTTGTCATTTATATAAATGATTTGGATGTGAATATAGGATGAATGTTTAGTAAGTTTGCAGATGACACCAAAGTCGGTAGTGTAGTGGATAGTGAAGGAGGTTATTTCAGAGTATAACAGGACCTTGATCAGATGGGCCAATGGGCCGAGGAGTGGCAGATGAAATTTGATTTAGATAACTGCGAGGTGTTGCATTTTGGTAAGGCAAATCAAGGCAAGACTTATACACTTAATGGTAGGATCTTGGGGAGTGTTGCTGATCAAGGAGACCTTGGGGTGCAGGTTCATAGTTCCTTGAAGGTGGAGTCGCAAGTAGACAAGGTAGTGAAGGCAGTGATAACAAGGTGTGGAGCTGGAGGAACACAGCAGGCCAGATAGCATCAGAGGAGCAAGAAAGCTGACGTTTCGGGTCTGGACAGCTCCACACCTTGTTATCTCAGACTCCAGCATCAGCAGTTCCTACTATCTTGTAGTGAAGGCAGTGTTTGGTATGCTTGCCTTTATTAGTCAGATCAGTGCACTGAGTATAGGAGTTGGGATGTCATGTTGCGGCCACTTTTGGATTACTGCATTCAATTCTGGTCTCTCTGCTATAGGAAAGATGTTAAACTTGAAAAGGGTGCAGACAAGGGAACTCTCTTTGGTTTTTGAGTAATGTAAAATTATAGTGTTAAGACGGAAGAGATTGTATTTTAGCTGTGTTGGAGGGTTTGAGCTATAGGGAGAGGTTGAATAGACTGGGGCTATTCCCCCTGGAGCATCAGAAGCTGAGCGGTGACCTTATAGAAGTTTATAAAAACAAAAAGGTCATGGATAGGCTGAATAGCCAAGGACTTTTTCCCAGGTAGGGGAGTCCACAACTAGAGGGCATAGGTTTAAGATGAGAGGGGAAAGATTTAAAAGGGACCCATGGGGCAACTTTTTCACACAGAGGGCTGTGCATGTGTGGAATGAGCTGCCAGTGGAAGTGGTAGAGGCTGGTACAATAACATTTAAAAAGCATCGGGATGGATATATGAATAAGAAAGGTTTAGAGGGATATGGGCCAAATTCTGGCAAATGGAACTAGATTTATTAAGGATATCTAGTCAGCATCAATGAGTTGGACTAAAGGTCTGTTTCCATGCTGTATACCTCTATGACTCTATAACCAATAAACTCAGATTGTGTAACAGAGTAATCACTTAGCTCTGGGTAACAATTTTAAATTTAAAGTTTTATCTGGAAATTTTAGAATTTTAGCAACATTATGAAAGTTTTCATAGTAAAGTAGAATACTTAGTTGCTGCATTAGAGTTCAAAACAAAATACATTTTCAATTATCAAGGCTGCCAGAACTCAAGTGGAATAGATATGCAAGTCACGATTGAATTAATTAAAAAAGAATTCTCTGCAGCATCCTGTGAAATGTGTTCTACCTAAAGCATGTTGATGCACTCTAAAAGTCTACCATAAATGGCAGTGATAGCTAAAAAAAAAAGGTATCAATGTATTTCTGGAACACATTCAACTTGATATGATTTTATTTGATGTTACTATCAGATACGTCAGATCTCAGACTGAAATCTGGCTCAACAGATCATAACTTGCTTTGTTTTTAATTAACGAAGTGGTCAATCCAAAGTATGCAATGCCACAGATTTGGTTATAATAGTGAAACAGAATTTTACTATGCAAAAGAAATGCAATTAAAACGCAAAAAATACATGCTATTTACATACAATACAAGTGGTAAGATTTTGAAATATACAGCAAAAATATAAACCCTTCTGTCTTCACACCATAACTTTACAATACTCAAACACCAGAGAGAGTTCCCTTCTCTATCACATCTATACTGTTGACTTAACCGTTTCTTTTAATTTCAGCCTTGAGAGTTTGACAGCCTCTTCCTTGATTATTCATACAACTGAGCTTAGATTTTATCAGTTTCAAGTAATGCTTACTGAAATACACACAATTCTGAAGAGATTTGACAGGGTGGATGTTTGCTCTTGTGGGGCAGACTAGAGCTGGGGACACGGTTTTAAAGTAAGAGTTCTCCCTTTTAAGATGGAGATGAGAATTCCTTTCTATCCAAAGGTCATTAGCATGTAGATTTCTCTTCCCCAAAAAGCAATGGGAGCTGGGTCATTACATTTATTCAAGGATGAGTTAGACAGCTTTTGATCAATAATGGAGTCAAGGATTTGCTGTCAGAAAGGAAAGCAGAATTGAGGATGCAAACAGGTCAGGCTTGGCAGAGCAGGTTTGAAGGGCGAAAACAGCCCACTCCTGTTCCCAAGTTCTAATTTCCTATTCCTCTGACCTTGACTCAAGAATCATTATGTATATATCCTCTTCAGTGATGAGTTAATTTAGTTTTACTTCAAAATCTTCCACAGTCTTTATCCCATACATTCCATTGATAATCAATTTTGCAACTTGACAAACTATGAATTTCTTTTATTAAAAATAAAAGGTGCCTAAATGTCTTACTTTTCTTAATATGCTTAATTATGAAATGCATCCCCTCGTTACCTAAGTCACTTTTGAAAGGTATGAAATGGTGCAATAGCACTGCAGATAACCAATTTACCTTCAATGCTTACCCACACATACATTTGCTCATCAACTTTCATGTTTCTGAATTGTCAAACAAATTCATTAATGACAGTACATACAACCTAAATTGCAGTTTTCTTTTAAACTTGATGTAATTTCAATTGATAGGATCCATGTTAAAACATTTAACTGCAGCATGTGACATTTTTATTGGTACAACACTTGCAATTTTGAATTGATCCATACCTTTGGCAAGTAATCACAGCCAAGTAAAATTGCGAAACCAATCAATGCATCTCGGTCAAGGCCTAATTTGGAGTTAATTGTTGACATTTTATAGCAGTCTACGTGGGGATCCTATTAAAGAAGAATGTAAAACAATTAATATTTTACTCGGAGGAGTCAAGAAAACAGTTATAGAAATGAAAGATCTGGTCACTCAATATTAGATTGATGCTTAGCATGCCATGCAACGCATGGAAGCTTTGATCCTCTATGGCATCCAACCTGTCCTCCAGGTCAGCAAACTGTTCACACAAAAAGTGTTAGCAATGGAAAAACACAGAACTTACCCAGGCTATTGGATACAAATGCATTGAAAGAAATTATTTGTTTAATACGATTTGATTTGATTTATTGTAGTCACTTGTGCCTAAGTACGTGAACAGCTTTATTCGTGAGCAATACAGGCAAATCATAGCAAACAAGGACATACACATGGTAGGGGGCCATACAGATAATAGGGTGACATACAGATCATATGTTGCTGGGCATCAAAAAGAAAGAGGAAATGCTGCTGTGTTTTGAGTGTGTAATACCTCCCAGTCCAACATGGATCCTAATTTTAAGAAACTTTCTACTCTAGATTTATTCTAAGATAACGAGATAAAAGTGAGAGCTCTGATGGCGGAGTTGCCCACCCAGTGTCAAGGTTCATGACGTCTGCTCAGGGCTAAAGTGGATCTTGGGAGTGAGATATGGAGGATCCAGTAGTCATGGTACATGTAGGTACTAATGACATAGGTAGAACAAAGAAGGAGGGTCTGCATAACTCCTGTGTGGGGAGTTACATGCTAAATTAAGAAGCAGATCCTCATCTCTGGCATTATTACCTGAGCAACATGTAAATTTGTAAAGGGGAAATCAGACCAGGGAGGTGATTGCGTGGCTCAAAGACTGGAATCGGAGATGTGGGTCCTGGTTTGTGGAATAATGGCACCAATACTAGAGAAAGTGGGATCTACACACATGGGTCAGTCTCCAACTGAACTGTGCTGGTGCCAATGTTCTTGCCAACCAAATGGGAAGTAGCAAGAATTTTAAACTGAATGGTGAGGGCAAGGGAACAATTTTTGGAAGACATAGCAAATCAAAGAGAAGAGTCAAGGCCAAACAGAAAGGAATTAATACGGGAAATGATGGACAGATTGTGACAGGGAGGGATAGAGTATGAATCTAAGAGACAACAAATCAATAAGGTTAGAATTCACAAAGAGGGTAAAGGGTTAAAAAGTAAAGGATCTACATCTGAATGCATGTTTCATTTGAAACAAAACAGATAAACTGAGAGTGCAAGTAGAAATGAATATTACAAACTGACAGATATTACTGTGACATGGCTGCAGGATGGTATAGATTGGGACCGGAATCTTGAAGGATACAGGTCAGAAATGACAGGAAATCAGGGAAAGGTGCAGTGCTGGCTCTGTCAATTAATGACAGTGTTAGCACTATAGAGCGGGATGACCTAAGTTCAGGAAATCAAGATGTGGAAACAGTTTAAGTAGAAATTAGAAATCATAATGTCATTTGCGGGAGTGGTGTACTGACCCCAGAGCAATGACCATATATTACTGTAGGGTAGAAAGGAAGAAATAATGACAGCTTATCAGAAAGGAATGGCATTAACCAAGCAAGGTTTTAATCTACATATTAGCTGGAAGAGTCAGATGGGAAGAAGTAGTCTAGATAAGGAGTTCATAAAATGTTTTTTGGATAGTTTTTAAGAACAGCATGTTCTGAAGCTGATCGGAAAGCAGGCTTTACTAGATCTGGCATTGTGCAAAGAAGCAGGATTAATGATCCCATAGTGAAGGTGCCCCTCAGTAGCAACGGCTAGAATAGACTGAATTTTACATTCAGTTTGCAAGTGACAGTAACGGATCCAAAACTACTTTTCCAAAATTTAAATAAGGACAACAACGAGGGCATGAAAGCAGACTGGCTAAATTGATTTGGCAAATTAAGTCAAAGGATCGATCAATGGAGATGCAGTGGCAGACATTGAATCTCAGAATACATAGAATAGATACTTCCAATGAATAAAAGAAAAATTCCAAAGGACAGACCCACCTCCATAGTTAACCAGAAAGTTTAGAGATTCAAGCAAAAAGAAAGCATATAACTGTGGAAAGAGAGAAGGTTGGCCAGAATTTTAAAAAAACACCAAAGAATGAAAAAAAAAGGAAAAAATAGAGTATGAAAGAAAGCTAGCCAGAAATATAGAAACAGATAATAAACGTTCATAAATATCATTAAAGAAAGAAAAGTTAAAGTGAATATTGATTCTATAGAAAATGAGTCTAGAGCCTTAACAATGGAAAATAAGGAAATGACAACTGAACTGAACAGGTCCTTTGCATCTGTCTTCACTATAGAGGATACAAGTTTACATCCCAAGATAATCCGGGAAATGGAAGGGAGGAAGGAATTCAAGAAAATCACAATTACCAGAGAACTGGTTCTGAGTAAATTGTTGGAGCTATTGGCTGACATGTTCTTAGGTCCTGATGGGCTTCATCCTAAGATCTTAAAAGTAACTGGTGAGTTCAGCAATGTATTGGTTTCAATTTTTCAAAGATGCATGGCCCAGGGATAAACCCATTAAAATGGAAGATAACAAATCCAAAAGGGTAGGAAGACAGAAAGCAGAAAGCTACAGAAAAGTTAGCTTAGCAGCTGTCATAGGGAAATGATAGAAAATATTATTATTAAAGAAGTTATAACAGGCATTTCACTAAGTCAATGGTAATCGGGCAACATAGTTTTGTGAATGGAATTCATGTTTGACCAATCTATTAGAATTCTTTCAAGAGGTATCACATGCTGTCAATAAAGGGGAACTGATGGATGTACTTAAACTTCCAGCAGGTATTTGAAATGCTGCCACATCAGAGGTTATTGAAATTTTATTTTCAGCATAATGTAGAGGTAGCAGATGAGTTACGACCCAACAATGTACAGCTAAGGTGAATGAAGAAAAATGAAGAGTGATTAAAAAAGATTGTACTGTGTATGAAGAGGTGTTCCATTTCCCAGCAGATTGCCCATAGCATTCTTTTCGAGGTAAGTTTCTCTTTGTAGCTATTCATAATTGATAAATTTATAAAACATTTCTAGCAGTTGCACATTGGTTGTTTGAGTGTTTTTTAACATTTGATTTACAGTTTCTTTTCAGTCAGTTCTGAATTACTGCTATTTTGTTTTGATTTAATTAACAAAATGGGACAGTGACAGAAATAAATAACAGGAAATGAGGCAAACTTAATCCTTAAATGATTTAAATTTAGGCAGTAGGTACAGACGATGTTGATAACATTATCACACTCTGAGGTACCTTTGTGTTCATGGTGAAGTTTCTGTACACAGTTTGAGCTCCATACAAGAAAGCATCACCATCATTGGTGATACAACCATCAACATATCCATTTTCATTTAGGTAGGCACACATAGCTTCGGCCTCTCCAGCTGCACAAACCCATGGGATGCCTAAACAATCCAGCAGTTCACAACACTGAAAATAAAAATAACATAGTTCACAATTACAGATTTTTTTTGGTAAACATTTCTATTTGTCAAGACCTGAGGATGGGGAACATAAAACTTAGGAGTGCAACATGCATACTAATTTCCGTCATTCATTGACTTGGATATATGCCAACAAGTTCTGAAATCTCTTCCTATTTAAATAATATTTTTTTTTTTCTTAAACTCAAACTCATTGATGATTACAGTACAAAAAGAGGTGATTCGGTCCATTATGTCCACGCTGATCATCAAGGATCTGACAACATTAATTCCATTTTGCAGTGTATGTCTTATATCCTTGGAGGCTGTGCAAAGCAAGCAAACATTTAAAGGGAATCCAGGAACTTGAGTGCTCCAGTGAATATCAATGAGCCAGATCTGATCTGAACATGCAGCCATCTGATCTGGAGTCAAGTGTACTATCGTTGCGACATAAGCCCACCCTACTGTTCTTCCTGCCAAAGTGGCTAAGTTTGCACTTTCCCACACTGTACTCCATCTGTCAAATTTATGCCCGATCACTTAGGCTGCCCTTGTATCTTTTTGAGACTTTTTATTTCCTATTGAAAACTTATTTTCCTATCTATCTTGGTGTCATCAGCAAATATAGCTACCATACAATCAATTTCTTCGTTCAAGTCAGTAATATGGATTTCAAATAGTTGATGGCCCACAAAGGTCCTTTTGGGACTCCTCTAGTTACAGCTTGGCAAACAAAAAAGACCTATTTACCCCTACCATCTCCTTCCTATTAGCTACACAATCCTCGATCCATGCTAATATGTTACCAAGAACTGTAAAGGTCCTTCAGAGGGGCATTATAAAATTTGACACTGAGCCACATAAAATGATATTAGGGAAGATTACTAATAGCTTACAAAGCATGAACAAGGAGCTGAACTATGTCATTCAGCCCTTCTAGCCTGCCCCACCATTTAATAAGATTGTGGCTGATCTGTTTGTGACTTCAAATCCACATTCCTGCCGACCATATCATTTGGCTTGATCAAAGAGGTAGGAATTAAGGAGTATGTTAAAGAACTAAAGTGTAGTATGGAATCAGAGAAAATTTGCTAGGAAATTACAGAGTTTAGATTTCAGGCAAGTGAAGGTATTACCATAAATGGTGAAGTGATTAAAAACCAGATCTTCAAAATGCCAGAATTGGAAGAATGCAGATAAGCCGCAGGATTGTGGGGCTAGAAGAGTTGACAGATATAGGGAAGAAATGAAGGGAGTTTAAAGCAAGGAGAGAATTTTAAAATGGAGGTATCGTTTAAGTGGAAACAAGTGTAGGCCAATGAAAACGGGATGATGAATGAATGGGATTTGGTCCAAATTAGGACATCAGCAGCAGAGTTTTGAATGAGTCAAATTTGTCAACGGTTCTGAAGATTGATTCTTTTGTGTATGTGCTAACAAGAAGTGATTTAGAAATGATTTTGAATGAGCTTGTCAAAACAAACAAAACTATGTTAAAAAAAGTTTATTTTTCAAATTTGAATTCTGTAATGAGATTCAAATAGGTGCGTGAATAGGAACGGCTTAGAGGGATATTGGCCAAACGCTGGCAAATGGCACTAATTCAGTTTGGGAAACTTGGTCAACATGGATAAGTTGCACTGAAAGGTCTGTTTCTGAGCTGTATGACGCTATGACTCTATAAATAAAAATCACAATGTTGCTTAACATAACAACTGAAGGAAAACAAAAGACAGCCAAGCCAGACAAAAATGTTAAAGAGGTTGTCCAACAAGTTATGTGTTACATGTCTAAGAATTTTGTTACTATTCATGGCTATACCCTAAACATTTAGAAGCGCAAGTGCCAGGAGGGTTGATGCTCATGGATAGCTGGATCACAGGGCTAATAAAACAGAAGAGTTCCTTGAATGAAGACTTTTCCAAACTGTAACGACATTAAAGAATGATTAAACTTAGCACATTAAGTTGTTTTTTGAAAGGTACCAATTTAACATCTTGGTGTAGTGTGGTACAGTATGGCTGATGCTGAGTCAAGATATATGGCTGGAAAATGTCAGTTAGGAGGAACTAACTAGGCAAGTGAATCAAATTTACTTAAAATGGAGTGCCTCACACATGAGGTAAAATAAGCCAAAATTCTTATTTTAACTAAACCAGTCAGAAAACAGAGGAACACCAAAATGAATATGACAAGGAAAGAAACAGCATCATAATGTGACCTCACATTCATAGGCCACCAGTTCAGATACAGACACCATGCAAATTTAACAGGATATCATAGAAGTAGGGTGGGCATATGGCCAGGGCAAGGGACAAGAATGATGAAGGCGTCAGATTGTTAGAGGACAAGATTACACAAGTTCTGCTGCAGAAGACTCAGGAGAGGACTTTGATTTGTCAAGCTACAGAAAACGGCTGATGGGGGTACACACCAGAGAGCTTTGTGCATCAAAGTCTGCCAGAAAGCCTGCAATCCATCTTTTGAAGCATGAAGGAGCCAGCAGCAATGTGGCACAGCATTTTGTACAGGATTTGGAGGTCATACTTTTGAACATGGAAATAGTGGCCAACTGCAGGAAGAAAATTTGAACCCAAACATAATAGAGCACCTGATGGCTAACGTCTCAGTTTCAAATGCAGCACAAGCAGTTTCCACCAAACATCTGAATGATACATGGGAGCTGAAACCAAAGTCATGCATATTCAGCTTGCTGTTATCCAAACTCAGAATGCTGTGATCACGTTTACAGATATCAATGTTCAAACAGGCTTCTAAGATGACAAAAGCGCTAAGGAAAACAAAATTGCTGTCATGCTCAGAATGACAGCATCGATTGTCCATAGCAGTCTCATTTGAGAGGCATTATTTTACCATCACAGCCTATTATTTTATCTGGGCTTTCCCATTCCCTTTGTATGAATCTTTTTTTTATTGCGTACCAGATCTCCTGAATTGAATTTAGTCTCACTTAACGCTATACAATACCTCAATACCCTCCCAATCTTACCTGAAATTCAACCTTGGTCGAAGCACATATTCCTGCAGCTAAAACATTCAAATGTGCAGAAAATTTTGAATTATTTGCAGTATGTTCTAGAGTAGGAGAGCTATCACATAGCATACTACGTAATTTAGGGTTTTTCATACAAAGTAATTATTGGGGATTGCATGTGTATACTCCAAGTCGACACTAACTGCACATGCCTGTATGTAAATGTGTACGTAAATGGCAGATATGATTTCAGAACGTTAGCAGTCTTCCCAATGCTCAGAAATGATCTCGACTGAGCCTAGTTTTATCCACTTCAATTTTAAAGATCAGTTAAGTAAATCCTTCAAGTACTAAATATATCAACAAACTATAACATTGAGAACAAAGCTAAACCTTGAATCTGAATGTCATGTTGATTGTTAACTTATAAAGTCATAAATAAATTGTAACAAATATTTGCCTTATTTTACATTTTAAAAAGAATGCTCACTTGTCAGAGAGTACTAACCTCTTTAAGGACAGATTTAAAATGGGATCTTTTTGTTCCAACAGTAAAGCTTCCTTGCTTTTTGGACAAACCACGCCTCGCCTCATTCCGTTTATTCATTGTATCAGCCTTCAGTTTTGGTGCATTTCCCTCTGCCACAAAGACAAGTCTCACATCCATCAAAGTGAGACATGAAATACGAAAAAACAAATTTCTAAAATTAAAGCAAAACATGGATCAACATTAATAATACCGAAATAATAAAGGAAAATAAGTTGCAAATGTTAAATATATAAAACCAGAAATGTCTTCAAAGGTTAAACATGAATTGTGACCTTGCTTTTCTCTTTACTAATGACTGATCCACATTTTTCAGTTCTCTTTTTACTCAACATCAATAATAAATATACTGATATGGCAAAATGACTACAGTATGAATTGCTGATCTAGATATAAGTTGCAAACCTGAATTATTTTTAAAGAAATACATTTCACTCTGTAATGTTAATTCTGTAGGCCCTGGCCATATAGAACAGTTCTGAAATGAGAAACTATAATTATAAAATTATTTTGAATCAACTTGTTTGGATATGATACAACGTACTTTCAGGGCAGGTGGGATCTGCATCCAGACCTTCTGCCCACAGGTAGAAACATTACCACTGCACCACAAGGTGTTGCTTGATTAAGGAATACTATAATTAGCATGAGGAAAGAAATCGGATATCCACCCTCTTTGTGCTGAATCTTAAGCTCCACATGCTTGCACTGATTTTATTTTTACATATGTAAGTTGGCACATCTGTCTGTTTCTTCATAATTTACCCTTGCTTAATAATTTTATTCTGATTTCCTTTTACCACCATTAACACTGTCCTTGTTTTCTCTTATTTCCTAATCTAAGAGAATCCAATTTCTATGCAAAAAGAACTGGCACGACTTACTTGCTCTTTGTCTCCACATTATTGTCTACTAAGTGAGCAAGTTCCATTCATGTTAATCCCAGTTTTGAACCAGTCATTAGCAGAGTGAGAATACCCAAGGGAAACCCTTCCTTATCCCTCCCTTTTTGAAGTATCTGGTTTGTCTACTGGCACACTGTAATCGAATCTGTCCAAGTAAAAAGTCAGCAAAAATGTTCCTGCGGTCATTATGGCACAAGTACCCCATTGCTCTTAGAAACCATGCATTCATACATGGTTCTAAAATGAATATTGACATGTATCATAAACCTCATGGGAGATAGTGCTGTTGTGGCAATGTCATTGGAATAGCTGTTGAGGTAGCCAGAGTAAAGCTCTGTCAGCATGCAAAACTCTCCACAGCAGCTGGTGGAATTTAAAATCAATTAATAATCTACAATTAATATTTTCAACTGGAATATAAAGGTAATCGCAGCGATGGTAACTATTATTGAATGTTGTTAAAAATCCATCTAGTTCACTGAAGTCTATTATTTTAGTTCACTAATGTCCTTGAGTAAGGAAATCTGTTGTCTTTACCTAGCTGACCTACATGTGACTCAACAATGTGGTGAACTTTTAACCATCCACTGAAATGCCAAGCAAATCACTCAATTCAAAGACAATTAGAGATGGATAGCAATAGATGCCCACATCCCATGAAAGACTTTTAAAAAGTACTTAATATTCTAAGTTACCTGAGATGTGGCTTGATAACTGTTCCAATCATGCCTTTCACAGTTTGAGCCTCACAAACCCATAAGCTCATATCGACGGCCAACGTTTTCCCTTTAAGATTTTGGAGGGGAACATATTCTTTAGCAGGCTCTAATATCTGCCACAAATCATTCACTCCCATGCTTCAAGCTTCTAATTCTGGACACTGAATCTTCCTATAAAAAAGACAAAATACAAATCCTCCTATTAAATTGAACCATAAACATTGAGTAATTAAATAGCCACGGATACAAATGAGTATTTCAAAATTCACAACCTCTCAAATGATCAAAATGGTTCACTTTGTAGATTTCTTGTCCGAGTCAAAATGTCATGGGCCAAGTCCCACTCTGAGACTTGAATGCAAAATCCAGGTTGATACTTTTGTCCTGTATGATGGAAGCACTGTATTGTCAGAGAATCTGTCTTTTAAATGAGATGCTAAAACAAAGTTGTGTCTGCTGCCTCAGGTGAACTTAAAGTACCCTTGGGTACACTTTGAGGATCAGAGATGTGCTTCTGGATATCCTGGACAAATTTTATTTCTCAATAATCAGTAAGAAATATGCGCATGAAGAAGTCATTGCTTCTAACATCTTTCTATGTTCAAGCATGTTGCTACATTTCTTACTTTGCAAAAGCAACTTGACCGCAAAAGTACTTCATTGATTCTAAAATGCTTTTGGAATGTCCTAAAGCTGTAAAAGAGCTATATAAATGAAAATTCTTTCCTTCTAATCAATACAGTTGCGCATTAAGTAAAATAAAGCAAAACCCTTGGATGTTATGACATGACAATTCAAAACATACATTGAATGTGACAACACATAAATGTCCACAGGCTGAATTTTAATCTGGGTGCAGAGGCATGTTTTTAGAGTGGAATCCTCACTTTTTTTGGAGGAAATCTGATTTTTCTCCACATCCACATGCCCATGCTCCTCAGACCTTTCTATGGATCAGGTCTCGCGTGAAAAAACACAACTGGTCTGAGTTCAGGTTCCCCATTTTAATTGGGGAATGAAAACTGGATTTCCTCCCACATACCATTTGTGCCTGATCGTACAAGGGTTTGAAAGAACAGTGAAAGCAAGACAAGTTTCAGAGTTGAAGACAAAGCCTGCAGAGCAGTCTGGAACTTTCTGAAAGATTTTCACATTTTTAAATGCCATTATTAAGTGCTGTTTTGCAATGAAAGTGTACTTTGATACAACGCTTCATCATAGGGTTTTGTCCTGCAAAGGAAAGTTAACCAACCCAATAACCCGCCTTGTGTATTTGTCCAGAAGCAGACAGTGCATTTCCACGCAAGAATATATCTCGATGCAGTGAAAAATGTAAAATATTGTCATCTACTCTCATGCTTTTGTGCTCTGTTCAACTGAGCTACCAAATCTGTTTCTTTTTCTAAAAAAAACACTACTTCTGAAGGTAGATAAAATTATTTACACCTGTTCCCCTTCATTGACAGGCACTCTGGTTTCAAATAAAAATGTCAACCTCAACATGCTTACTTATCACATACTCCATCACGGTTGATACCCATGTGAAATGACAAAATGACATGCAAAGTCACCACATGGGTCCAGCGTGCAGCTTCCGAGGCATGAAAATGTGCAGATCGATCCCAGGTAAATATTTTACCCCTAGAAACGCCTAAGACGAAAACGGGAAGGAAAGGGGGGCAATTCTGCCTTTTCAATTAAATCATCCTATCAACCATAAGCGAACAAGCACACCTGACTGAGCAGTAGGTTTCCCTGGACATGATCATGTGGATTCAAATTAAAGTATCACAGAACGTTGGAGAAATTCAGCAGGTCTGCCAGTATTTATGGAGAGAGAAACATTTTGAGTCCAATTTCCCTCTTCTTCAAAACTTTGCTTTAAATATAAGTATGTCACTCAACCTTTCAAATTTGAAGATTAGTGGTCGAACACTTTGTAAGTATACAGAATGTACAAATTTAGTTGTTGATTTATCTGCTAGAATTTCTACAACACAAATTTTGCTTTGTATGGCACCATGTCATTTTACATTTATTCATTTTTACATTAATTATTAGTCACCCATTGAAACAAACTCCACAATTTGTAATTGGAATTGCACATCTCTATATTCCCGTGGCAATGGTCCTAATGTGCCACATTGATCTGTCCAAAATGTCCAATATTAGTGTTGAGGCTGATTGTTATAAAAAATAAAAGCGATAGAATGCGCAAGTGTCATTATCACACATGGGAATTGTGCAAGCATAGGGACGTTGATAATAGATTAAACTTAAGGACTTTCTATCTAAATGCAAGGAGCATTTGGAATAAAATTAATGAGTTAACAGCACAAATAGAGATGTATAGGTATGATGTTCTGGCAATTAGAGACATCATTGCACGGAGACCATGTTTTGGGAATTGAGTAGCCAAGGATATTCAGTTTCAGAATAGACAGCAGGAAATGGAGGAGTTGGAGCTTTGTTAGTAAAAGGGTAGATCAGTACTGTAGTGAGAAATGAGTTAAACAAACAAAATTAAATAGGCATAAGGACAGATTTGGCCTGAGTGGACTGAGCAAGACTAAAGAAAACTAAAAGGACAGTTGATGAGCAGTGACAGATATTTAAGGAGATATTTTCCAAAATCAGCCTGAGACAGAAGCTGGTATATGTGGACATAAAATAATCCACACCATTAAGGAGATAGAATCACACAGCACCGAAATAAATCCTTCAGTCCAAGAAGTCTATGCTGAACATAATCCCAAACTAAACTAGTCCCACTTGCCTGCTTCTGGCCCATATCCCACCAAACCTTTCCTACTTATGTACTCATCCAAGTATTTTTTAAATGTTGTAATTGTATCAACATCTACCACTTGCTCAGGAAGTTCTTTCCACAGACAGTAAAAAATTTGCCGCTCATGTCTTTTTTAGATCTCTCTCCTCTCACCTAAAAATGTGCCCCTAGTATTGAACTTCCCCATTCTAGGGAAAAGACAATTACCATTAACTCTATCTATACCCCTCATTATGTTATAAACTTCTACAAGGTCGCCTCCCAACTTCTTAAGATCCAATGAAAAATGTCCCGGCCTATACAGCCTTTCTTTATAACTCAAATCTTCCATACCCGGCAACATCCTGGTAAATCTCTTCTGAACCCTTTCCAGCTTAGTAATATCGTTCCTATAACTGGGCGACCAGAATTTTACATATGGAAGCTTCTATTGTATTTTGTACACTATGCTAAATCATTATCTCACCTTCATTAAGTATCTATATTTAGTCTTACTTTGAATCATAGAATCCCTACAGTGTGGAAACAGGCCATTCGGCCCAACAAGTCCACACCGCCCCTCTGAAGAGCATCCCACCCTGACTCATTCCCTTACCCCTGCATTTCCCCATGTCTAACCCAAACATCCCTGGACACTACAGGCAATTTAGCATGGCCAATCTACCTAGCCTGCACATCTTTGGACTGTGGGAGGAAACCGGAGCACCTGGAGGAAACCCATGCAGACACAGGGAGAATGTGCAAACTCCGCACAGTCAGTTGCCCGAGGGTGGAATTGAACCCGGGTCCCTGGCGCTGTGAGGCAGCAGTGCTAATCGCTGAGCCATCATGCTACCCTTTGCTACCACTTGCCTGACAAAATGTGTGCATTTAATTCTGTAATTACATGTTGTTTAGCTGCAAACTGAAAGGTCCAGATCTATTTTCTTCTGTTACACCCTTGAGTCCTAGACTCTTTAAACAGTGGAAATGGGGTAGAGAGAAACTCAAGTCACCTCTTAAATTCTAGGAAATACAATCCTAGTTTGTGCAATGTCTCTTTGCAGTTTAATCTTTGGAGTCTGGTAAATATGCATTGCTGCTGTTTTGAGATAAATAAATCTTAATATGTGATGCCTAGAAGTGGTCAAGGTACCCTCGGTGTGTTTGAACTGGAATTTCTTATAGCTAAAGCATAACACTTATTCCTCCTTATACGTTTTTTTTTTAGATACAAAGAGACAGCACACTGTCAACTTTGTTGATTATTTTCTGGACCTGTTCATGACATTTGAACGATCACTCTACATGGGCTCCAAATTCCTTTGGACTGTCAATATTTCTAGCTTTTATCATTACAAAGTACTCTGTTTCATTTTCTTTTTAGGTTTTCGCATATTTGCTGACAATTGAAATCCATTTACAACTGTTTGGGCCATTTATTTAATTCATTAGTATCTCATAGTCATGGAGTCATACAACATAGAAACATGACCGTCAGTCCAAGATGTCCATGTCGACAAGCAAAGACCAAATTACACTAATTCCATTTACCTGAACTTGGCTTAAAACCTTCTATGTCCTGGCATTTTAAGTGCACATCCAGATGTTTTTTAAATGTTGCCAGACCACCTGCCTCCACCACACTCCAGGCAGCACACTCCATATTTTTACCACCCCCAGGTGAAATCCTTTTTTCTCAGGTCTCCTCTAAACCACTTAGTCCTCAATTTAAACTTATGCCCTCTGATCTTAGATGTGTCTACATGGGGAAAAGATTCTCACAATCTATACTCTCTATGCCTTGCATAATTTTGTATACCTCAATCAGATCCTGCCTCAGCCTTCTCTGCTCGAGGGTAAAACGAACGCAGCCTATCCAGTCTCTCCTTATAACTTAGACTTCTGAATTAGGTTTATTGTCACACGTACTCACAGTAGTACAATGAAAAGTTTACAAATCGCAACTTACAGTGCCATCTTAGGTACAAGATACCTAGGTACAGAATCTTGGTACAAAGCAGAAAAATAAAGAAAACAAAGTTAAATAGTTAAACATTACAGTCCTTACTAAAAAGTAGAAAAACAGTTAACAGTTCAATACCACAGTTCATAAGCACCTAGCCACGCTGGGCTCGCACTCCTCACAAGGTAACGACTTCTGCTGCTGCAGCTTGACCTTGCTGCTGCCCTGGGTGGCCTGCTCTCGCCACCTTGCAGTCTGTTCCTGCTCCCGCTCTCGCCACGGGCTGCCCCAGGCAACATCCTGGAGAATCTCCTCTAAACTCTCTCGAGTGCAATCACATTCTACTGATAGTGTAGCGACCAGAAATGCACACAGTATTCAATCCGTGGCCTAACCAATGTTTTAAAACGTTGCAACAAGACTTCCTTGCTCCTATAT